ACGTGTTGGTGTTGACTTCATGTCACAAATGTCCGTGTGAATCAGTTCTAAGGGATATGAATTCCTTTCAACAGACTTATAAGGATGCTTAACATACTTAGATTCAACGTAAACTTGACATTTTGATTTATTGAACTCAAATTTAGGCAAAACATTTAAGTTAATCAGTTTTCGCAAAGTTTTGTTATTAATGTGTTCCAAACGTTCATGCCATAAACATTTAGACTCAAGCAAGTAAGAAGAAGCAGATTTTTTATTCATATCAACTGCAATTACATTGAGTTTAAAAGAGGCCCTCAGTGAGGTAACCTTTTCCTACATACATTTCATTCTTACTCGCTACAACTTTATCAGAAACAAATACATATTTGAATCTGTTCTTAGTCAAAACTGGTATAGAAACTAAGTTCTTTGGCAATTTCGAAACATACGAGACCCTATTCAAAGTCACCACCTTGCCCGATGTCATCTTTAAGAGGACTTTGCCAGTTCCTTCCACCTTTGCAACAACGGAGTTTGCCATAAACAACTTCTCGTCTGTAGGTGCTGGAGTATATGATGAAAATAATTCTTTGTTGGCACAAACATGGCATGAGGCACCAGAATCTATCCACCACTCTCTTGGATTTCCAACCAAGTTGCATTCTGAAAGCATTGCACAAAGATCGTCCATCTCTCCTTTGGATTCAGCCAAATTTGTTTGATCCTTCTTCTTGTCCTTCTTGGGACCCCGACATTCAGTAGCCTTATGACCACGTTTGCCACAATTGAAGCAGTTTTTATTGAACTTCTTCTTAGGAGGATTGTTTTTTGGACCAGATGCTTTCTTTCTTTTCTTTGATTTTGTGGGATCTTCTTCAACAATGTTTACTCCAGATATTGCTGAATTACCACGTGACCTCTTTTCTACGGCCTTGTTATCCTCTTCGATTCTCAGCCTTACCATGAGATCTTCAACAGTCATCTCCTTGCATTTATGTTTCAAGTAGTTTTTAAAGTAATTCCACAATGGAGGTAATTTTTCAATAATGCCAGCCACTTGAAAAGCATCATTCACAACCAATCCTACATTAAAGATTATGTGAGTATTAAGAATAGATTTAATATTTCCAACATAGGTATTAAATAAATTTATACCTTCAGCAATGAGATCATGGATTATGACATGCAATTCTTAAACTTGGGTGACGACGGTCTTACTGTCTATCATCTTATAGTCCAAAAACTTTGCCACAAT